TATTATATTCATTCAGGGTTTTTTTTTGTTTGTTTGTTTTATTTTGTTTTTGTTTGTGAGTCACTGAGTTAACCTGAGATAATCTGTTAATCTGTGTTAATCAGTTAACTGAGTTAATCTGTGTTACCATGGATTTGGAGCTATCTGTTTGGGACTGGTGGGTTCAACAGTGGTACACCCTAAAGACCATGATTCACCCTCTCCCAGACTTATGGCTAACTAATAATTCAGCCATAAGGGGTAGCATCAAGTGGGTCCCTCATCCATCCATGACTAATTGTTCACAAGCCTAATTTTGTATGGTCCCAGTGCTGTGACTTCATGATGAAAAATAACTGTGTCCAGTCGAGAAGATAGGATTTTTCCAAACCCTTCATCCTACCTTCTTCTTCTTATAAACTCCCTGAACCACCTCCCCAAACATACACATACTTTTTCCTGAGTCTTTGAGCAGGGAGCTCTCAATCACTAGATTATCTAAGCATCTTGGTCAGTTATGAATCTATGCATTCATTAACATTCATTTCAAAGAGAGGTTTCTCTGGTTAAGACTGAGAGCAGTGTTTGTGTATGAGTGTAATCAGCACAGATGTTCAGGATGTAGCTTGATGTTTGTGTTGTTAAACAACCATAGCAAATTCCTCTCTTGAGCAGATGACCTCTCCAGTCAGGTTGTTAACTGGACACACAGTACAAGGAATAGGTTCCCTCCTCAGATCTAACTAAAAAGAAACTAAAGAGAAACTGGGTACCTCTACAACAATTGTGTCATTATTTTGCAGGTTGACACATCTTGCTCAGTAGGTTGCTATTTTTGTGGTTCATAGGGTTTAGGGCTGGGTAAGATCCACCTTCCAGTCTTTAAAAGCTAGCCAGCAGGGAGGAAGTCACCAGCTCAATTCCAGCTTGTTTTTTTAAGCATCTTACAACTGAGGTACAATCCAATCCTATCCTCCAGCTCTTGTGAGTAACCAAGAGGACAAACAAGAGCCTCTTGTTTGGGGGGGGGGGCTCTGGGGCCTCACAAACTCTTAAGGGGGCCTCCCACAACACTGTCATGGAAATACCGATTTTGATTAATAAATGTTCAACTGACTTCCCTGGAAGGCAAGTGATCAAGTGTGTGCAGCCACTGCATACACCACAGCAAGAGTGCACAGACATGCAACACTGAAGACGCAAAAACCACCAGGAGCCTTGCTAGTAGTCGTATTGTGCTTCAAATGGGCAAAAAGCCTAAGTTTTGGCAGGGTGTGTGTGTGTGTGAGGAGGTATAATCTTTGATTTACATGATCATGCATTCTTAGAAAAGTCAGTAACAGCGCCAAAATCCTACTCATGTTATTCTTTCCCAAGTTGCCGAAGCCAATATTTTCTCTATACCCCCCGAAGCATTTTATAAGCATTTCATTCCGATTCTATTCCATAGATTCTGACAGCCTTATTGTTATTTTTCTGGATAAACTAAAATTTTATTTTATTTCTATTGTTAGTTTATCAACTTGATATAAACCTAGACATATCTGAGAAAAATCAAAACTAAGGAATTTCCTCCATCAAACTGTCCCTTGTACATGTCTATGGGCATTTTTTAAAAATTAATTATTTATATGGGAGGGCCCATCCCACTATGGGCAGTGACACTCTTGGGCAAATGATTCTGTGTGGCCCAAGGAAGCTATTTAATGAGCCATGAAGAGCAAACCAGAATCAGTACTTTTCCATGGTGTCTGCCTCAGTTCTTACCCCCAGATTTCTGCTTGGGTTCCTGCCTTGACTTTTCTCAATGGTGAACTGTGATGTGGATGTGTAAGCTCAATAAACCCATTTTCCCAAAGCTGCTTTTGCTCATGGTGTTTATCAAAGCAACAGAAAGCAAATGTCTTTGAGATTAGAATGGCTAGAAGAAAATAAATGCTGGAGACGAGGTGGGGAAAGGGGACCCTCAAACTGCTTGTAGCCACCCTAAAAAGCATTGCAGAGAATCCTCAAAAAGTTCAAAATAAACCTATTATATGAACAGCTACAGCACGCTTTGTCACGTGCCTGAAGACTCAACATCATACTGCACAGGCACGTGTTTAGCTGTGTTCTTATTGTTCTATTTACAATAGCTAGGAAATGGAAACAACCTGAATGTTCTTCAGCTGAAGAATAGATGGTGAAAATGGTAGTAGTAGTGTGTATACACCACGGAGTACTGGTCACTGTCAAGAACAGTGAAATCACGAAATCTGTAGATAGTTGGATGGAACTAGAAAGTAGGTAGGACACTGAGTAAGGTCACCCAGATCTAGAAAGTCAAATGCTGAATTTTCTCTCTCATCTGAGGTTTCTAACTACACCCAGTTACAGCAGAAACCAGGAAAGCAAAAACAAAGCGGATCATGGGGCTAGGGTAGGAAAGGGACCTGGAAAGACGAATAGGAGAATAGAGTTGATGTGGAGATGGAAACAGGGAAAATGTGGGCCAGGCTTTAACCAGGGAGGAGACTACAGAAGGCAAAGGAGTGAGGGAGTATAAATGACACTAAGGATGTTTGAAAGAGTCGTAGAGCAGTGCTTGTCATCTTTCCTATTGCTGTGACCTTTTAATACAGTTCCTATGTTTTTGGTGACCCAACCATAAAATTATTTTTATTTCTACTTTATAACTATAATTTTATGCTGTTTTAAATTATAATGTGAATCTTTTTGCTTTCCAATGGTCTTAGGCAACCCTTGTGAAAGGATTTGTTTGACTACACAAAGGGGTTGTGACCCACACATTGAGAACCACTGCCGTAGAGCATTGTATTACATGTATGTCCTAACTTAATTTAAATGCTAATCATCTTTATACTCGCATTTATAAAGTTTCTCTTTGTAGCAGGCAGAGAACATCACAGAAACCAAACAAAGCTCAGAGAATAGCAGACCATAAGGTGACCAGCTTCAATTGACACATCTATTACACAGTACCTATACTTAAGGCAGAGGAAATATTTTGGAAGTAAGGGGGAGGAGGTTATAAGAGCTAGAGGACCAGGAAAACTGCTGAGACTGTGCCTTCTAGAGATGACAGGGAAGGTATACCCAAGAAATTCCAACAATATGGTCACCTAACAAGACCAGAACAATGACACAACCAATTGACACACCAACAAGTAAGGGGGGGTATTATGGTGCCCCACCCTAGATGAAGTTATTTAATGACTGGTGAGAAGGGGAAAAACATCTTCTACAGGGATAAGCATCCTAAGTGGGTATCTAATACCAACTTGCCAGTCCTAAAGCCATCTACACACAAGCAACACTAAATGGACTTGGCTGGCTGTATGTATGTATGCATGTATTTTTGTGTGTATCTGTGTAAAACAATAATAATAATGAAGGAGTAGGGTAGGGATTTGAAAAAGTGTGAGGGCATGAAATTCATAAAGGAGAGGAAGCTGGGGTGTAATTATATTTTAATTTAAACTAAAGAAAGCCAACTTAAGTCAGGAATGATGGCATAGGCATCGTGGCATAGTGGCATGGGCCTTTAAGCCCAGCACTCTGGGCACGAAGAACGGGTGGGGGTGTATGGACTTACACGTTGTGTACTTGTGTTGAATGCAGATATTTCTCTTAGCTCCAATGCAAGGGATCATGGAACCTGAAATAGGTAGCATGATTAACTCACATCAATCATACAAGTCTGTCATGATTAATTCGGATCAACTTTAACTTTGTTGGGGTATTTTATCTTACAATGGGAAAAAAAAATGAAGACACAAGGATCCCAGTTTCTCTATTATCAAGTATGAGATAGAGAGCATCTCCCACAGCATACGGCAAATGACTCAGGCTTTCCATGATGAATACAGCTCAGTCAGACAGTGATTATGTAGGTAAACAAGGTGGATGGTAACCAAAATAGTTCCTGCCTTCCAGGACTTTAAGAAGGGTGACAGAAGAAAGGACACTGAATCAACCAGGAGGTATTTCTTCCAAATTGTTATTAAGTATATTACACCAGAGCCAGTGGCTTAAAAATGTGATTTCCGTCCTACTAAGAATTACCTATTAATTACAATGTGTTGCATGGTTGAATGCAATGGAGCTTCCCCAAAAATAAAGGTTATTGCAGAAATTACTTGCTGTGACTCATGAGTTTATTACTCAGGGTGATGAAGAACACTGACCTATGATTAAACTATGACGGAAACCACCACCATCAAACGCAATTCACCATCACTGGGTACTTCTGTACTTCATTTCGTTCTAAGTATTCCACACGAATTCTGTCACTTTATGACCAGAGAAAACCTATCAGATGTTTGATAATATTTTCCACATCTTCCTGGCAAGAAATGATGATGAGATATTCAATGTACCACCCACCAACGTCTCAAAGCTGGTAATCATAAAAACCAGAAATCAAACAAGAACTTTAGATTCAGGGCTGGGGACTTAATACAGTGGTAGTTATATGTATGACTAGCAGGTGAAATGCCCCAAGTTCGATTCAGCCCTATAAAAATCAATTGATCACTCACCTGATCAATCAGACTCTTCAGTGCTATATCATAAATCTTCCCGTGGAAGAAGGGCTGGGCTAACTACAATGACTGAAGTAAGACCATTATCAATTAGGTGCTCCATAGGGTAGAAGACAGTTCTCCTATGCCCAGCTGACAAGGTCCGTTCATGTAACTAAATCAAGAGGAGGATGTAGCATCCCGATTCCAGACGGGAAAGGTGAGGATGGGCATTCCTAACACACTGGTCTGGACCACCCATCCTATTCTCCTTCTGTACATCTTCAAACTGCTACACTTACAGACTAAGCCCAGCGAGCTCCATCTGTCCAATAATCTTGATGAAAGCATTATTTGAAAAGAAATATAACATTCAATTTTAGGCATGGAAAGATCAAATAAATTACATCATAGTGAAGGAAGGAATTTGTTCCACCGTGGAAAAAGCAACACAGGGTAGAGCAATTATGGCGTACTCAAGTACTACACAACTTTCAAGCAGATATATTGCTTGAAGATATTTTATTAAGACTAAAAAACTTTCCATTACATTTATCAATAAATTCATCATGGGCCAAAGGAAAATAAATAAAAATCTGCATCTTTAGGGACATTTTGACTCCATAGTTTTGTAATCTGAATTTACATGTTTGCTCATTTTAAATGACTACACTTTAGGCACACTCAATGATTATATAGTACCAGGAATGCCAGCCTTATAGATGCCAAGTTTCCACATTACTCAGGGAAACCATGGTTATTGTTTCAATTTTATCTCTTTACATTTGGGCCGCTCTAACTGGGAGGTGGACAAGGAGAACAGCATTACACGCAAAGTTCAATTTTAATTGTACAAACACTGAAACAGTTGTTTCTTCTCTAACAGTGGCTGCCATGCCATCCCAGGAACAGGCTGCTGAGAGCTCGGAGTGTTCTTCTCGGTGGTAGGAGTGCTGAGGCCAGAGAGCAGAGAGAGGTTGCCTCTTACTACAGGGATCCACAGCCCTTTGTTGGCCTGGCATATTACATTCTAATTCAATCTCTTTGAAAGCATCAAAGCACAGGTAAGCCTACAAGACACCTGATTTCTTAAACTGCTTTTATTTTCATCATTTAAAAAAATGTTGTTTAGCTCTTGTCTAAAAAATACAGATATTTATATTTTCATAACATTCCATCCATCACCTATACTACTTATAAGGACTCAAAATTTCCACTGCACTATACAAGTTCTACCCTAAAATAAAAAAATGGAGACAACAATCCCAAAAAGAAAGAAAAAAATCAACAAAGATATCTTGGAGTAAGGAAACTGGGATACCTAAAGTATCCACAGAATGCCCTATGCTGGTATGCATTCCTCATCATTCTTGGTACAGAAACTTGCTTTATGAGAAGTGTAGGCATTCTCCAATATTCCACGCAAACCAATTAATTCTCTAAGACTTGTGCCTCTAGACAGACCACACAGGTCACTGGCTTCAGAACAGGAATCTGCTAGCCATCCTATCCGTGTTTAAACTGCATGGCTTATCATTTAATTAATAAATACAGAACTTGCATAGACTATGTTCATTAGTCCAATGATCTGGCTGTGGGACTGAATGAATAATGAGGTCTCTAGAGTAACTTCTGTGTCTGCTTCTCACAGTAACCCGACATGTCATAAGGAAAGTTAGCAAGGACACTATCACATGACAGTGAACATGTAACATGTGGGGATCTACCTGCAACAAGGTCAAATATTTACATGGAATGCTGACCTTGCTTGTAAAACTACTACTTTAAATTATATCTTTATATATAATTTCTTTTATGAATAACCCTATTTGATAACTAAAAATATGTCTTTCAAATATCTCACAAATATATAAAATTTCCCTATATTTTATTTTTCTTTAAGCATGACATTTAAACGCTCTTCAAAGCAACAAAAATATTTTTGTATTAAAGTCATAGATGTGATGGTTTTCCTATTGGCTGAGTCACACTGCTCACAGGAATGGCAGGAGCTCTCTGAACCATAGATTTGTAATACGATAAATTATTCACTCGCTGGAGACCTATAGCATCAAAGAAAAAGGAGCAATGTCATCTAAACATTTAAGAAATACATCTTCTTTCAGAATAGGCTGAGATGAAATCTGGCCAATGTTAATAATCATTTTGATCAAAAAAAGTTAACACAATATAAGGTTTCTAGAACACACCGTAGCACAATTTAAACATGTGGTGATTGCACAGTACGGAAACATGATCACTTTTTCCTTAACTATGTGTGTTACACGTTTAGAATATGTATCTCATTCTTATAATTTGCTGAGAACTTCCAAAGCAAGAGAATAAAACATTTTGACTACAAAAATGTCTTCTGAAAAGTAACTGGTTAAAACAGGAGTTGCTTTGTGATCATTGCTTGCCCTAAAATAATTATCCTTACTAAACCACAAGGAAGGGTTTTGGTCTACATCTATAATATTACTTAAATCTATTTCCAAACCTGTTGCAGTGGCATGTACCCGTACTTGGGAGGTTGAGGCAAAGGAGGGCTGAGTTCAAGGCCAGTGTAGAGAGCATAGTAAGACCCTCAACTTACAAAAAAAAGGATCCATTTTCCCTTATAGAATATTTGCAGTATCTATATGTACTCCAAAGGATTTCCTAAACTATAATATGTGAGCTACTTCCTTAAGAATAACAAACACACAAAGAACATACTCTGTGCACAGGAGCGGTAATAGGATAAGGTCTTATTTCCAGCTCAATCAAACCTGTGGAGCTGCCCAAGATGGCTAAGTCCATGCTGTCAACTGCAAGCATGCAAAGTGAAGGGCAGCAAGTAAAGGTGGGGCATGAACTCTGATACACTGCCTCTCACAACAGAGACAGAACTAAGGGCAATCAGGGAATTCAAAGTTTTACGCTGTGCCGATTCTGACTTTTAGATTGCGCAGTCATATGATTCAAATAAGGCTCTAAAAGATATAAACAAAACCACATTGAAATTTTATAAAGACTTTACATCTATGACAGTGATAGAGGTTTAAGAAAATCCTACCAAAAACATGGTAGCTGACCTAATCATGCACTCTGTAAAAAACACAATTAAGGAAATTTTCTTGAGTTATGAATGTAACCAGCTCACGGGGACCCAATGGGTATCAGTCTCTAGTTTGTCAAATGTTGTTTTTAGCTCATTAAATGCCATAGTGAGATCATCATTTATTATAATTTTGTCAAAAAGATGGCCGTATTGACTTTCCATTATTTGTGCCGATTTAATCATTTCTTGAAAGTCTTCTTCCTATAAAAACAAGTAACAGATTAAGCAACTAGACAATTACATGATTTCACATCAATAGAAACATTTTACAATGACTTTACTGAAAGCTGTGATTTTAGATTTTAAACCAAGCCAAAAACAAAATCACCTTCCCTATCACTACTTTTTCAGGCTTTCTGGGTCATTTGTAATGCACCATTAAGGAGCATATCACGAATAGCATAGATATCAGGGCTGCTGTTAACTCAGTATGCGTGCACAAGACCAAACTTTAGTTGTTGACATATTTTCTTTGGTTCATTTGGTGGCATTGGGAGTAAACCCAGAGCTTTGTGTGTGCTAGGAAGTTCAGAAACAGTGGTTAATACTACTAATGTGGATATTGGTTGGAGACACAGAATCTTACTGCAGAACACTTTGGTTTCAAATATTTCAGGCAGAAGGGAATGATTTCTAAGTCTCAATTGTCCTGTGCCTGCATCTTGAGTGTTTCAGGTAACAGGGGTGCATTACCATACCCAGTTCCACAAAGTAGAATATCAGTTCATAGAACCAAGAAGAATTCACAACACCATTGTTCAAACCATACAGAATAAAACATTATTATCTTATAGGAGTCTAGATCATAACTTCATCTGCAACAGTGTTCTTAAGTACTGCGTGCAAGCATTTTGGTGCTGCTTATCCAATGGCTAGCCAACATAATACCCACTGTGAAGGGTTTTGCTGTTCCTTGGTCATCTCTGCTTGAAATAATCTTTGCATTTTTTCTTGTCTCTCTCAAACGTTCTATTGATGGAGGTTTTATAAATATCACATAGGGTTTGAACTCCAGTGTCCTTAAGTGCTTCACTGTCTGCAATAGAGAAAAGATTTTTCAAATTTCTTCATAATTTCATGTATTTTTGGATTTTTCTAAGGAGAAAATTTCTTAAAATTATTCTTTAATGTCAGGTTATTATTCAATCAGTTCCTGAGAACTAAGGTGACAATATCACTGAAAAGCAACTAGAGAAGGCAATTTATACTTTAAATGTTTTGAAATTAACCACCGCTATTATGGAAGACAGTGACTAAAACCATTAGAACACTAGGTCCTAGACCAAGCTTCTAAAAGATGTGATGAGGTTGGCAGTTTGTAAGCTGTCCATTTCTTTCACATTCTCTCTGCTAGAAGCTGGAGTCTGTGCAGTCTTTCTGCTCTCTGTGAGGTTAACCAGCACCTCCCCTTCCCCATCAAGAGTCCTGCTTTGTTTGGAGACAGGTTTGTCTGGGACTGTGTAGGATTGCATAGGAGCCTGCCTGAGAGTCCTAATACTCTTGCCTCAGTTTCTAGAGTGCTAGATTACAGGTATATACCAACATACCTTGGTTGTTTTTATTTCTTTTATTTTATTCTTCTCTCATACAATACATGAAAACCACAGTTTCCCCACCCAGCACCTATTCCCACCCCCATCTCCCCAGATCTACTTCTACTTCACTTCCCTTCAGAAAGAAAGCAGCCTTGCAGGGATACCTGCTGAGCATGGCATAACAAGATGTAAAAAGGCTAGGCACAAATCCTCATATCAAGGCTGGGCAAGGAAACCCAGTAGGAGGAAATGGGTCTCAAGAGCAGGTAAAAGAGTCAGAGACCCCACTCCCACTAAATGTATATAAAGAGCAATATACAGTTATACAACCATAACATATATACAGAGGACCTATCACAGACCCATGCAGGCTCTGTGATTGCCACTTCAGTCTCTGAGCCTTATGAGCCTCCTTAGCTGATTCTGTGGACTGGGTTCTCCTGGTGTCTTTGACCCCTCTGGCTCCTACAATTCTCATCTGGATTTTAAGTTTTGACTCCTGCAGACTGAACTGATGAATTGTCAAGTGTGATGGATTGTCAGAACTGAGAGATATTATTGAAATCCCCATAGTCTAAATAGTTCATTTATCCCACTGTGAGGTTAAGTAGATGAACTCTATGTGTTGAGGGGAGCGATATAGTGATGGCGAGGATGAGGAAAGGACCGAGTGAGTCTGGGAATAACCAGGTCCAGTACACAGACAGGGAGTTGAGAACAAGAAGATATGCCCCACTTCCTCCTGGTGCCTGGATAGAAGGTAGCTTCCAAGGTGATGTTAAGGATTCTATAATTCTAGCTTCTTCATCCATAAGAGGTGCAGAAGTTCTATAATTGGGAAGCTAAGCATCCTAGAATACTACCACCATTAAAAGAAGAATCTTCAGCTCCAGGAAGACTAGGGTAATGCTGGATTTGGGTACCAATCAGAGGACAAAGAATATCACATAAGGAATTAAATGTTTTCATCCATTGGCCTTCTTAGTTCAATGTACCCACAAGAGGCCCCTGGGTGATACACAAGGTCTCTCTGTGGCATCTCAGACAAGATATTACTGGACAGTGCCTCACAGCTATGCCAGGCTTTAAATGTCTACATTGTGTACAAGATCAGATTAGCACAGGAGAATGATGATCTAAGATGCCACTGTCAGATTATAAACACTGAGAACGAGGCATAACACAAAGCATGTTATGTATGCAACATTTTTAAAAGATCCCAAATAAACATGTAATAGCCAGCGAACTCGACTGAATAAAAACAAGACAGATAAACACTGACCTTAGGGCATCTTTTCCTCTTATTTTCTAATAACATTATGTGTTTATTTTTCTTAACCAACCTACATTTAAATGAACAGACTTTCTATGAAGCTCACTCTGACATGCGGCAGGAGACTGACAGGAACGGCATGCTTTGTTTACTTACATGAGGCTGGACATCCAGCAGACAAACTTTGTTCTTAGCTAGGACAGAGCGAACTGAGTCTACACTTGTGCCATAGTAGTTGTTTTTATATTCGCCATATTCAATGAACCTGCAGAAAATTAGACACTCATCAGGATGGTTTGCGAATATGAAAAAAAACAAGTGGCAAGTTATACTTCATAGGCAAAAGGTATTTTTGCTGAACATGTAAAATTTTTTTGCTGTATTTAATAAAATAAACAGAACCAAGCATTTCAGCAAATGTCAATTTGAAAAAAATCTCCTACATTTTCAAATCAGTAACACTTGCTTGTATTACACTTAAGCCCAAAAAAGTACTTTGGTTCAGTAGAGCGTTAATGTTTTCCATCACCCCCTTTCAGAACTAATGCAAGGCAATAAAACCAAACAATAGAAACTACTGGAATTTCACTGCACACTACAGAGTAAAAGAGCTGGGCACTGCAGCCACAGGAGCTGGGAGGTGGCTAATGGAACCAGGGCAGCGATTATGTGCTATAAAAACACAGTCATAGGGCCAAACTTGAAGAAAGCATTTTGATGTTTTAATAAAATCCCACAATACTGCGTGAAAATACACCCTACTTCTGACGCCCTGAGTAGCCACACCTCAGCAATGGAAAACTGAGGGAGGGTGGGGTAGGAGTTAGCTGGAGGAGACGGTGTGTGCAGCATGGCAGCTTTACTCCAATGCTGGAAGTGCCAATGAGACTTAGGTGTGCATGAAGATTATGGCGCAAGCATATCATATAGCTGGCCATTAATTTTTAAAATAAAGTCCTGCCCAAGTTATGTGTTGAGATTCAATTACTGGACTGGAAAAAAAAAAGTCACAGAAATACCCTGGGAGGTTTTACTCATGCTTCAAAATAATTCTTACGGATTTAGCTGCACAGAAATGTAGTAGCTCCTAGGTACTAAAAAAAAATTAGACGTGAACATCCGTGATTACTAACTAAACTACCATTTTGTAAGGACTTCAAACAGTACTATAATAAGTGAAATGCATTTCAAACGGAAGGGAACCCTGGGCTATCTAAAACTAGATATGCGGGCAATAGCTTAAACACAGTGGCAATAGAAAAAATTCAACAAAATTTCACATACTTGTTATTTTGTACATCTGTCTCAAACAAATGCTTAGAAATAAAAATATATTCCACACCATCACTTTCTTGGCTTCGTCTTGCTCTAGTGGTATCTGTGATTTGATAGAAAAGGAGTTGAGAAGTCTATATCAGTTACCTTAAAGTATTTTAAAAAAAAATCAAGTACATTAAGTTAGTTTCCTATACAAGATGTTTTTAAAAACATATGGAAAAAAGTGAATTAACTGGCAAAGTACAGTGGAGGATAAGTTCAGAGTTCTCCACTGTCATTACAATGTCTAATTGCACCACGGGTCTGATCATTACTCATACCTTTGAAGAATCTTCAATATGAGTAAATACATAAAAGTAGTCATATGTGTAGAGTTTAACCCACACCCCAGGAAATCATCTTTCTTTTGCAAATAACTTGTTTATCATGTTGCATACTGATTTATTTATTTATTTACTTTGCTAAAGTAAGCACAGTGTTCACTGGGTGGAAGGTAAACTTTCTTCACATAGTACATGGCATGTACCTTCAGTATTCTGTTTCACCAACTAAATGAAATCAAATACCTCCATGAATTATTTACAACTGCTGCCAAGTTAGTAACAAGAGCCTCTCGCAACCTTTGACAATGTTGCCTACTTATTTTTGAGAGAAGTATAAAAAAGCAGAAAATACAGGCTAGTGGAAAAACAATGACAAAACACAACACTTTCCAATGTGGACACACATGAAACCCCATGCAGCTTTACCCTTCCTGCCCTTAGAATCAAAAGTCCTGGATGCCTGTCACTTATCTGAGAACCTTGAAAATACACAAAACAGGAAGGATACGGAGGCCTGCATGGGGAGCCACGGCATACTGGTAACAAGGAGGGGCTAGATTACTGTAGGGAACTAGGGAAAAGGGCTATGCAACTGCTCACCAATGTTACACTGAAAACACATGCAGAACTTAAAACATGCTAGATTTAAAAGAGTGAGGTAGGGAATGTCAAGAAAGAGAAAGAGGAGGGCCTGTAGCTGGTCATGAGACAGCCAAGCTGAGTAGGTAAGAGAAAGGACAGGGCCTGGAGGAAGAAAGGCCAATGCTGTCAGGCTGTCTGTCTGTCTGACTCCCATGAAACCCTGGGGATGTACACAAGACACTGATGATCTCTCAAATATTCATGCTTTCAGTGAAGCTAAGTGCAACTTACCTAACTGGGGAAAGATGGCTTTTAATGAAGAAGGTTACCTCAGTCCAGAAAAGAGATTATCCCAGATCACCCCATAGATACGGAACTAGATATGGACAGTTAAGAAAGACTGAGGCTACATCTTGGTAGCTGTGTTAATGTCATACCCCATGGTGAAATACAAGCTGGGCACATAAATGCTGAGAACAAATCTAAACCAAAGCTTCTTTCACTTCACCTGCTCCCATTTGTCTGTGTCATTAATATTTACGGTGTGAGGAAGCAAAAGGCAGAGCCACCATCCAATTAACTTTTGGAGTCCCTTGAGTTATGGCACCTGAGTCCCCAGGTAGATGCACCTTGGTTGAAAAAGGTATTGTCATTCTAAACAAACAAACAAACAAACAACAACAACAAAAACCCTGCTCAGCAAGATTAGCAAGGTGTGTGTGAATTAAGAGTGTGGAGGGAACTGAAAAGTGGAGAAGTAGAGAGGGGAGTATGTTAATTCTCTTTAGAAACCAACATTGGTCTAAAAGTACCTTCTGCCTTTGTATGTACAGCTCAGATTCAAGCCAGCAGAATTTACATAACTGAATGAAAAGAGTTATCAATCAAAATAGCCTCAGGAAAGACAAGCAAAGAAGAGACCTTCTCAAATGAAACAAACCCATGCTCACTTCAGGAATAAAGTGATTAACAGTCAAATCAACATTCCAGTACACTATTTCTTCCTAGTTTAATAAAATAGAAATGCTTTAAAGTAAAAACTGTAGTGGGATAGGTTTCTTTTTTAATTAAAGGGTTGTTTTGTTTTTGGTGTGTGTGCTCGCGCGCGCACACACACACACACAGACACCATGATGTATATGAAGGCCAGAGGGTAACTTAAGGTGTCATTGTTCAGGAGCCATTCACTTTGTTTCTTTAGACAGGCCCCTTCCTAAACCTGCAACTCGCCTAGCAGAGTTAGGCTAGCTATCCAGAGAGCCGCAGGGATTCACCTGTTTCTGCCTTCCTATCACCTCTGGTGGTTTGTTACATTGTGTCATGGTGACTGATATCAGGACACCCTGCTTACAAGATGAGCAGCTTCCCAGTGGAGTCATCACCCTACCAGGCGTCCTGTAGTTTCTAAACACATTTAAGCCTACAGTCCAACCATCCTCCTGCTTGTTGTTCAAGGGAAACAAAACCTGTTTTTTCAAATTCTTGTGCACAAAGTTCACCCTGGTGCTGTATTTGTTAATAGTCAACAGTGAGGGTGATGGAGGAACCTCAGTAGCCACCATCAGGTGAGCATGCTGAGAGACTGTAGCATTTCCATGCAAAAAATGCCACCCAAGAATTGCTGAAGTTTGAGGCATCAAACGTCATCAAGAATGTGGCAAACTCATGCTGAACTGGAAAAAAAAAATGAAAAACCTGTCTGTGCAAAACCAAATCAGCTTTCACTGTGTAATTCAACACAAAATGCTGAGGATTACAATGAATCTCCAAGTGATGAGAGTAGAGCTGCACTTGGCGGTCTGGGGAAGAGCGGGAACTCTTCTGAGAGAATTCCTCGCTGTGCCTGTGAGGACGCTTGCACATGTGCAGACAGAGGCTGACAAAGAACCATGTTCATTTTACATATTCAATTGTATCTTTTATAATATTTAACAGGAAACTATGAGCTGAGAAAGGCAACACTTAAAAAATCATTAAAAATTTACTTATGTATTAACCTAATATTTGTTTATTTATTTGTGAGGTGCACACTACGGTGTGCACGTGGAGGTCTAAGGACAACTTGCTAGAGTGTTGCTCCCCTCCTTCCACCATATAGGTACTGGGGACCAAACTCAGGTTCCCAGGCTTGGTCGGAGGCTCCTTTATCTGCAAAGCTGTCATGCTGGCCACAAAGCAATAAATTTTTAAGGCCAAATAACTCAGTTATGTTCTAAATCCTAATTCTCTTTACCAAACCAGCAAATATATTTTACTATAAAGGTCCTTCAACAGTCGCTCTCCCCTCCCCCATGGAACACCAAGAAGTAGTGCTGTTCTTAATGGAATGTCAGTCTTTCCAAAGCAGGATTAAGGACTGATAAGTTTTATTCCATCATGAAAACAAGCACCACACTTCACAGTAGAAAATGATTTTGTTGAGTGTGTCTTTCATGATACATATTCAAGAGTAGAAATATTATTTAAATGAGTACTTTTTCTGCTTTGTAAATGGGGCTAAATTCATTTATTATTTTTGCTTTTGATATTTCCCAGAGTTCCTTTACCAAATAGTGAACAAAAACCAAACAAAACCCCACAACACTGGAAGTCAAAAACTGAGACTTTTCTCTGCACGAATTTTCTAGTAATAAAGAAAATACTGTGCTTGCTCAACTGTAAGAGATTTACATCATGACTGAGCATGCACAGCACCCATTTTGGGGACCATTGCCCTAATATACAGAGCCCTCTGTACCTATACGCACCAGGTTAGAAACTTTCAGAGGTATCAGAGCAGCTAGTAGGAGAAAAGAACATTGAGGACAGCTCCAAATGTTAGCCATGGCTCCTACTTCTTTACTGAGAAGTATCTCAGGTCTAATTGGAAGTCTTCAACTCAGTAACAAGCCCTCAAAATGCCTGTGAGAAGATTTCGAAGGCGGCAAATGAGGCATTCTTTTGACGGTTACATCTTCTAGAGCATGGGTAGTTTGAGCTCTATGAAAACATTGGCAGGAAGTGTGGGTAATGATGAAAGGTGTTCAAAGCCCAGACTAAGGATGTGGAATGCACAGATCTGAATGTAATGCCCATCTACCACAGAGCCTTTGTTTGTTATCTTTCAGCTGTTTGAGCCAAACTGTAAGGTAATAGAGACAACTGGAGAAGGAAACCAACCAATCACTGAGCACTCTGACTGACCCCAAAGCCAGTTAAAAAAAAAAAAAAAAAAAAAAAAAAGCCCTGAAACTGAACCAGTGCCAAAAAAAAATCATACTACGTCAGAGCCAGTAAAAAAAAAAAAAAAAAAAAAAATACACCCTGGTCCCAAGATTAGAGTCAAAAGTCTAAAAAGGACCAGTGAAAGAAACACAGTTTGACCATGAAATCAGAGCCATCTCTGCCCCTTACCAACTAAACTAACCAATCTCTTAGCATGGAAAACTAAACAACCCCTCTTCTCCCTTGGAAAACTATTCCCCTAAGAAGCCCTATATAAGCCTCTCAGCCTGTTCACTTGGAGGCTACCCTTTATCCCTCCATGCAGAGACAGTCACTCTCCTTCCCAAATAAATCTCAAAAGAGTATTGGGTAATGGTCTTCACTGGCTGGCACAGAGAACCTGGTTGGGATGCCCCTTAGGGGACTGAGCTGAAAAACCTTGCTGAGACGCTCCCTGAGGGGGGCTGAGCAAGGTGGAGCAGAACAGAAGAACCTTGCTGGGACACTCCCTAAGTGGGGGCTGAGCAGGAAAAGTAGCAACTTTTCTGCCAAAGAAGCAGATAGCTCTGCTAGGACCTTCCCTTAAAGGGACAGAGCAGAGCTCAACTGTAGCGGGCTCTCCATGAGAAGAGCAGCATTGCTGCATCCTGTGGGAAGACCATCCTCCATTGCAGGTAGCCTGGCTTCCTGATAAGTCAGGATCCCTTCCCTCCAGGGCTGAGCTGTCCTATTGAGGAGGCTCCAGCCTCCAGAGTTGTCCTGTTGCAGCTCTAGCCCTCCAGAGCCATCCTACTGTGGCTCTAAGTATAGCCTTGTTTCCTGATAAGTCAGGCTATCTCTGCAACTTCACAGTTGTAACACATTCCCCTACAATAACAGTGTGTACTAGATTTAGTATCCCTTTAAAATACAGTCACATGCTGCATGATGCCATCATGCATTATGAAATGCGTACCTGACCGTAGCCTCATAAATTATCTAGTGATATCCTTGCCCACTGAGTTATATTAAGTCCAAATGATAAAACCACACAAGGACACATATTTTAAGATGAGTACTTTCACTAAACATGTGGCTGCCTGTTTTACTGGAAAAACAATATATTTGAAAGCAGTTATAAAAATAGTACAGACTGGTACCACACCCTGTTCCTTCAGCTTCCCCAGTTACACGGACCTAATTGTAACAGCATCATAACCAAGAAGCCAAACATCAATGAATTATAATTAATTCAACTACAAGAAGTTCCATTTAACATTTAAAAACCAGAGCAGGACACAGGAAAGTTTACATATAAGACTTATATGAACATGTGTAGATATTGCATGTGTGTGTATGTGTTTTACAAAGACTAATGAAATCCAAAGATCAGCACAACCATAATACAATCAGTGCTCTAACACAAAGCGGAACAGTGCCAGCCTCATGAATTCCACTTGAGTTGCCTTTCTAGCCTGACAGAGGAGGGTCATCTGTCTATGTGTTACTTTCATTGGTTAATAAAGAAACTGCCTTCGCTTTTTGATAGGGCGGGACATCTCCACAGGTTCTCTAACAGTATATACAACATTTTAAAATGCGAGAAAGGAAACACCAAGGGCTTACAACTGGGTATGAAATGACCCAGCTGACCGGATAAGGAGGAAAGGATCTGGGAAAACAGCAGTTAGTGTCACCAGGTCCACTGACTTCCACTCTCTTGAGCTCCACCAAGGAGCACACTCAAGACAGCTTTTGTGTATCCTTGCTTCTATTGCAGCTAATTATAACAGACTAAACTATAAGTAAGATCAGCTTCTAAGATGCCTTCACTTATCCCAGAAAGGAGACAATCCTGGATCACCTTGCAGACAGGGAACTAAATATAGGTAACCAAGGACAATATATCTTGATAGCCATGGTAAGAGTTGACTCTCCATAGACAGTAAAGAAAAATGGTTCATGCTAACACTACAAGTTGGTCATGGAAACATGTGAAGAAAGCATAGTTTAACTAATGTGCAGAAGACTTGGCCAAGTTCAGAGACCAGCGAGGCCTGTAAGGTCAGTGAGCTGCAATGCTGACAGGAGCTACTAGCTAGCAGATAGCCAAAGCCATCAGCTAACAGAGTTATCACCATAACTGAGCAAGCAGCCCAGGTACAGCATGTTATTATCTCCCTGGGTTGCATCAAGGGAACATGCACAGTGTGCAGGGCTCCCTATGTGGTCTTGCCCATGACATACTCAGAGAATTAACCAATCTTAATAGGAACCAACTCCCTCTTACCCATTTTCTGCTCTGAGCCCAATGAAAGACTCTAGGTCAGCAGCTCAATGGCTCTTACTCTCTGGGGACTCCACCTCCTCTCCAGAGTTCCCTCTACTTTCCTCATAAAAACAAACAAACAAACAAACAAACACCATGTCTCACTTTCTCTGAGTTCGCCTTAACAAAATTTGTTTTTACTTTGCTTACTTCCTTGTGTCTATGTCTTTAATAACACTGACAGACAGTGAACTCAAGAGTTAGTGACTTAGGTTGTCTTTTAGTGACTAATGAGAGTGTCTGGCACCAAGTTCCCCAGACTGTGCACACTTGGGTTGAGACATTCCAGTGCTCCCAAAGATCTGCATCACTCTTCCTCAGTCTACTCTTTATGGAATGAGTTCATAGTATAGGCAATTACAGAGTGCTATCCCTGTGCATTCAACATGCAATAAGTTGTGATTTACCTAGCGGTGGCACCTAAGTAGCTTTCAGCCTATTGGACACTCATAAAGAATGTTTCTACAACCTAAATGCCCCTTGAGCGAAGAATGGATAAAGGAAAATGTGGTACATTTATACATTGGAGTACTACAGAGCAGGAAAAAATAACAATATCTTGAATTTGCAGGAAAATGGATGCATTTAGAAAACACTGTTTTGAGTGAGGTAACCCAGACACAGAAAGACAATTATCACATGTACTTACTCATAAGTGGTTTTAAAACATAAAGCAAAGAAAACCAGCCCACAAATCACAATCCCAGTGAACCTAGACAACAATGAGGACACTAAGAGAGATATACACAGATCTAATCTATATGGGAAGTAGAAAGTAGAAAAAGACAAGATCTCTTGAATAAATTGGGAGCATGTGGACCTTGGGGGAGGGTGGAAGGGGGGAGGGGAAAGACAGGGAGGGGAGCAGAGAAAATGCAGAGCTCAATAAAAATTAATAAAACATTAATTAAAAAAGAATGTTTCTAAGAACATCAGAGTAAATGTCTTTTGTTGATGGCCCACATATGTCCATTGGGAATGAAATTAAATTTGTGGCTCCTATGGTATTTGTTTAGTTTTGTTGTACTTAGTTTTCTAAAGTGTTGACTTGAGTTCCCATCAATGCACAAAAGCGCCACAGCTCCACATCTCTCATAATCCACCAACTCCAGTGGCTTTGTTTTGGAATCCCCAGCAACACTACAACTATCACAGCAGACCACATCTAATATACAGTACTTATCCTCAAAGGAAACTAGGTTTTACTATTTACTGGGATACAGTAGTTTTGAAGGGATAGTGCTACATAGGAGAGAATAAGAAGTGTCATGTTTTGAGAATGAAACATCCCCAAGAGCCCATGTTCTGCTGTTCCACAGCTGGTAGGATCATTTTTGAAAGCTCTGCAGCCTTCAGGAGATGAGGCCTGACTAGCTGAAGTAGATTATTAGGAACAGGCCTTTGAAGGTATAGGCTAGCCTACAGTTCTAGCCTTGCTCTATGCTTCCTGGTTCTCTACTAAGTACACGGTCTCAGCCACATTTATGACCACTGCCTTCCCCACCAGGATGGAATCCATTCCTTTGCTCTCTGAGGCTGGTACTGTCAGGCACTGAACAAAAGTAACTAACTTAAAAAGCGATGTCATAAACCTTATTCCAAGTACAAATGAAGCATCCTCTCTACCCCCTTCCTCTTCCCAGTGAGGCATCTTTCTACCCCCTTCCTCCTCTCAGTGAAGCATCCTCCCTACCTACTTCCTCCTCTCAGTGAAGCATCCTTTCTACCCACTTCCTTCCCCCAGTAAAGCATCCTTCTACCCACTTCCTCCTCCTAATGAAGCATCCTTCCTACCCACTTCCTCCTCTATGACTCTGTTCTACTCTGTGGTGTGGAGGATATGAAGGGGACAACATAGCAGGAAAGTGATAAATCTGGTTTCAACTTTCTAGGTTTCTCCCACGCTTATGCACCTGATAAAGTTAGCAATTGGGTGGTAAAATTTTCTAATTACCTGTACATTGGAATTCAACATCTGTAAGAGAAGGGAATTAAAAGAAAAAAACCCAACCTGCACCATTCTACATGTTTCTACATCTTGGTTGTTGAAAACCAGAAGTCCCCTTACTTACAGCTAAAAGTGATTACAAACAGTAATTTGGAAAAATGTAGTAACAAGAAGTAACTGGAGGTAGCAGAGCACTCTAATTTTAAAATACAGTTGAACTCTTCCAAAATGAGAGAACATTGCTAAGGGCAATACACAAATGATTTTCTTTAAATGCAGCACTAAAACCACTTAAAAAAGCCAACTTTCCAATTTGGCCTTTCAGACCGCTTTCTAACATCAACATATTAAGTAGTCAAATGGCATTTATTCTGGAGATCAAAATGTTTCAAGTATCGTATTTCATATGAAAACCATTTTTATAAAAATAGATCTAATTCTGTATAACTAAAAGAAGCTTACCATGTTTGGTCAATTAAGCTATGGAAAGCCTATTTGAAACACTACCTGCCAATTGCTACACATGAAAGGTAATTAAGAAACATTGGTGCTATGAGAAGTCTCCCCAGGTTCTCTGTGGTTTGGTCTTTCTAATCATAAAACTGATGAAAAACCTTGGTAAACACTAGAACTTTGGGGAACATAACAGTAAGACTTTTATTTATAAGATAATTTGTAACTAAATGTTGGTGTCACCTATGCATTAAGCCACCATAAACATCTCAAGCAGCTAAACTGAGATAAAGAAATAACCCGTCAATAATGTGCGGAGTGTGGGGAAATCCCTTGAGTCTCTGGTGCCCCAGTTCCTTCTCTAATGTGATGGCGCTGTGCAGAGCTGAGGAGCTCTAGAACACAGGTCTAAGGAGAAATGTCACTAAGAACCATTACTAATGTCATTAGAGAAACACTGTGTGCTAGAGGGCTCACGGGGTACTGTCACTCCATAGTGTTGGGTGTCACTCATCAACAGCTTCCGCTTCAGCTCATTCAGCCCAACTCCGACAGGACCTGAAAACAAAGCAGAGAAACTGAGAACAAGGGTCTAATCCTGCATTCCAAGTTAATCTGTACAAATGAAAAGAACTGGGCTCCTAGAGTTGTTTCAGAATAGTTTATATGCCTACCTGTTTTTCTAGACTACTTAAAACATACTCAAGAATAACTTAGCGGGAGGGTTGAAGGGGAGGGGAGAAGCTGGGAGGGGACCAGAGAAAAATGTAGCGATCAATAAAAATCAACAAAAGAGAATAACTTAGTGTATTACCTAGTAATCCATTTACAACAGCCTAAAATATTTTCATCTACAAATTGTACTGTACAGTCCTGAGTGATAATTTCATTTTAAAATGTTTTCTGATTTCAATAAAAGAAAATCATTGGTCTTGACCTAATTTTGGATACAAATTTAATCAAGCATTTTAAGTGTGCAATTATGCATTTTATATGTTCACAGAGCTCTGTCATGACATCTTACCCTACAGAATTCCAGACAGCCCTAAACATCTGAAAGTTGCCACAGGCCTTACCCATTTAAACAAATTAAATGCACAGACACAGATGATGAGGAAGGCAAATGGCATGTACCATGAAGAAGAAAGATGGCAGATACACCTTGCATTTAATGAGAATGACTAGTTAATGAAAACCACCAAAGAGTGGCTGTGAACACTGGCCTGAAATCAAAAGTCATAAAGGTATCAGCCTCAGGGTTAGTATTCCTTCCCCATCTTAAACCTCATACAACTTGTGGTTAGGTCTATGGATGAACTGTAGATAGAAGTAGACAGAATACTGGCCCAGAAGCCAGCCTGTCCTGAGCTAGGTCCTCATTTGCTCCTATCCAAACTTCTCCTCTGATACTAGACAAGGTGACCCTACCTCAGCAAGGTCAAGTGTGCCCTCAGTCTGCATCACAAAGCTCCCTTTCTTGGAAGAAAGGACAAGAACTCAGTACACACAGGTGCCTGCCTTTGCATCCTTTATCTCCCCTTTCTCCTCATCTTTGGGGCAGAGAGATCCTAAGAAAAGAATAATGATGTGCTTGCAGGTACACAGAGCTGAGGCCAGCCAAGTGGGCACTGTGAGTGGATGGGAGGGTGTGGGGACAGGTAAAGGGGCAAAACTGTGGACCGTACCTTCCACCCCCACTGGCACTTCTAGCCCCACCTTGTCCTACTACATCTTCTACCTTTTCTACATGGCTGACAGGAGCCTGTTTCTCTGTAAACTTCCCTCTGTTCTCTAAGACTCGATGAAATTGCAAAGACATGCTTGAGTGATGGTAACAGTTACTACAGCTTACTAGAACATATAGATCCCCTTTCTAAATTAATATGCTCCCTTAGCAACAGCATAACAGAGAAAATAAGAATGTAATTTCTGATAATACGACTTGTGCTTCAGTACAAACACACTTGGCATGACCAAAAGGAAAACATGCAACAAAGTCAGATGTCTGCATCCACTTAGGAGGTCAGATTTAAGGGCTCAAGAACCACAGTGTACAAACAAGTACTGAAACAAGGTCCCTGGGTCCAGATAGAGTGGACACCAGAATTTGGATAAACATCATGACCAGGTTTACTGAAGTGTTGTGGATCTGCTAGCGAGGTGTTCTCCCTAAAGTTACATTAAAAGCTTGGATGGCCGTTGATGTGATTGGATTGTAAGGGCTGGGCTTGACCAATGGCTGAAAGGTGGAGTCCAAGTCAGAAGGCATACCTTGACCTTGGAGCCTTTCTCAGTTTCATTCTTTTTCTTGGTCACCATGAAGTGAGTGACCTGCTCCTCAATGCCCTTCCACTCTGGTGCTTCTGCATGACCCAGAGTCTCAAAGCAATAGCATCAGCTTGCCATGGATAGAACCACATAACCGTGATCCTAAAGAAATCTTATTCTTTTTAAGTTGTTTGCTCAAATATTTTGCTATAGTGACAAAGGTGACTATCATGAAGAGAAAGAGGAAGGCAACCTTAACTAACAAGAGGACAATGTGCCAAGTGTATCAAAGTGAAAAAATACAAATGACTAGGCTTGAGAACATTAACCTGAGTGATGGAAGTGCAGCCAATGCCACAGAAGGTTGGCTTCTAGCCCTACACTAACTTTGGGTTATGTACCAAGTTCACAGGTTTCCTACACTTTCCCACTTCAAAGGACCTATGACACTAATTACACACGCTTGCTTACTTGCCTTGATCCTCTAACAGACTGTGAGGTCCGTGAATACAAAGACATCTCCTGCCTCACTCACCTACTATTTCTACAGTTGGCAAATTATATACACTTAAATATGTTTCGTATTACTGTGAAGATGGAAGTCACAAAACAATCCCACACCAGTTCAGATCTGAATAATAAAAGGGTTATTTATTTAAGGGAAAAACTTACAGATCCCTGTCCTAGATACCAGTCCTCTGCACAAACAGGAACAGAGTCTAGCAGCTGAAAGCGGGAGCCAGAAGCAAGAAAGAGAGGGAAAATGCTTTGCAACTGCTTTTACAGTATAAGAGACCACGCCCAAGTGGGCTGGTATCTTAAAGGCTATTGCCTGAAGGACCAGAATGTGCTCCCACAGCATTACTGGAACAAGAGCCCTGGGTCTCACATGTGCTAGGCTGGTGTGCTACCAGTGTCTCACATCCTCAGGGTCTAGACCAGTTGGTTAAATGTCATGCAATGTGCGTCTCATGGGGGTAAAGCACGAGTGAACTACAGGCATGCGGGCTGAGGGCGCCTGGATGTAGTGGTCAGATAATACATTCAGGACATATACTGAATGTGACTCTTAACCTTCAGCAAGAGCAGAAGGTGATGAGTGCTGCTAGAAGGAATTCTAATTCTCTGCTTTCTGCAAAGGCTCACAATACACTAAGGAAGAAAGGACTGAGATTTTCATGTAAATGTCCACATGGTAAAACCTGACACTAGGAAGAGAGCTCTATGGGGAGTGGCAAGCAGACAGACACCGATGGTGCTACTGAAACCACACGAAGGCTATGTATTCCATAAGGCACAAACATATGAAGAATATATTCTTGAAAAAAGAAAAAGGAAAAGAGTGTTTCAAAGGAATACCACTGTGTGTACCGTCAATTTATAGATAAGTAACTGGTTACTTATGCCCCCAAAGTATGCCAAATAGTAGAGCATAGAGGGCCCTGCTCCAGGAAAGAATATGGTGGGAAATTGGTTCTTTTCATATGTCTCAGTCCTTAGCCCTTCCTAGAAAGACTCTTTGAAGTTGAACACTCCTTATTTCACACACTACCCAAATGACAATAAATAAGAACAATTATTGCCACCCCCCAGCCTCTAAAACCAATGATTTATTTTAACTCAGGAGCAAAAACTAGTTGTCTTACTCAGTAGGGAATCCTATGCCAATCCCAGGATGTCACTCCTAAGTTCTGGCCACACTTACTTTCAGTCCCATATGACAACTATGGACCTCACCCTCACAAACCAATTTCAGCTACCTAGTTATAAAGCCACACTCACTCCCATCAGGAATGACCAGAAAAAAGGATTTGATCTGAATTTCGTGAGTTTTAGATTATTCTAGATCATAATCTGCAAATATAGACACAGTCTCATAAAAAGTCCAAAGGACAGAATTTAAAATCACTCTTTTTATGAAACTGCTTATCAGACGCACACAAGGCAACTTCCCTGTGGGGCTGCTGCTCATTTTGCACCCATTCTGGGAAAGAAAGCCTCTTATTGACTACAAAAAAAAAAAAAACAATCAGAAACAAAACCCCACATTCACACCTGTATCCGAATACCCCCGATCCCAGCGGGCACAATTACATCACTTTTACTTGGCTTCTTTATATTTAGAATGGAGAAGTATGAGCAAGTTAACTCATACATGTGCCTCTGTTGAGAGAATTCACTGTGCCCTTCAGTATATGAACCTTTACCACACTTGGTGAAACACATTTATATGATTGTACAGTTTATGTTCAATGGCTCTTGTTAATGACAAAATGGATCAAAGTTTATGCTGAAAATCTTCAGCTCATTTGGCTTTGGTTTGATGGGAACTCTAGTAAGAGAGGTTCTCATGTGGCAGGCATCTGCTATGCAGGCCATTAAGAACTTTCAACACATCTCTGAAAGTGTCATCTTCATTTTACAGATGAGAAAGCTAAGACAATGAGAAGTCATGTCTGTTTTGAAAGGGTGCACTGGAATGTGGCTCCCAGGTTATTCCAAAGCTCCTGTGATTGAAAAGTCTACATTTCCCCACACTGCCTACACTCTCTCTAAAACAATGTAGATGAAACATGAAGTCAGGCTCTGCGCCGTCTATGGTGATGACGTCCAATGCCCTGGACTTGTTCACTCTTTCCCAGTGCCCACACTTTGAGTGGTGATTGTCTATGCTTGTGGCTAACAAAACTGGTATCAATATAATCTGCTGATCTCTCAACACACATTCTGAAGATACTCCGTCCGACACACTCTAGGAAGGCTGAATAACCCGAAGTGTGTACCAAACCTGGACAGCTTAGATGCATGTGTTATGGTAGTTTTCATTTACGATTCTGGAATCTCAAACACAATGATGCACAAGCGAAAGTCCCAGAGCTCACTGAATTGATTTTAGTTTGAAATGGAGATGGCAAACTAAGGTTGATGCACTTTCTCATCTAAAAATAAAGAGTGCTCATGGTCAAGCCCGGAATGCCATCTGCAGCCGGTTCATTCCTGGAGGGAGGTTCACAGAACTTGGGATGTCTGTCCTGAAAGTGAGAAGCCCTCAGGAAGCCAAAAAAGCTGTACAATTTCCAGGCCCTCATCGGGGTCTCATGAGCAGTGCATTAACTGCCATGGGGAGGAGAATCTTGGGTGGAGCTGCCTGAGATGTGTAGGGAGCTCTGAGGATGTACTTTTCTTAAGTCATCCTCCATGCTGGGGTGGGCCTACTGAACCAGAGTCACCTATGCCCTTGTAAGGAACCCCAACAAATCCATTGATTTCCTGTGATAACTTGTAGGGAG